CTTTCAGTGTGTTTTTACATGCCAGTCCCAAAACTGTTGGTCATCATAGGTAAACAGAGACAAGCATGTAATGAAAAACTGCAAGGTTTTACAATTGCATTAAAAAGTTATGGGTTTTTTTTCATCTTTGATGAAGAAAACCTGCTGTCTGAGAACTCCAGCAGTGAAAAAGCCAAGGAATACTTGAAGCTACACAATAGAACTTAGGAAAAAAGACAGCTTGGTAAAATCATCAGTTTTCTTCCATATTTAAGGTGCATTAAGATGGAGACTGCCAAAGATCACATTCAGATTCCTATCTCTCCTTATGCAAGTTGTAATTTTCACCCTGAACTCAGAAAACCCTCTGCAGCTTTGCAACTAGTAGTAAAAAAACTGGAAAAATATTACAAATCTGCAAATATTTTGGTTACTCTGAATAGCACTTAATAAATTACATCAACACCTGACAGTTTCATCATGTCTCAAACCTACGAAGCCTTTGCCTTCTTATTTCCTCCTCTGAATCATGTGGAAACCAAAAACCGTAAGGTCGCCGCTCATTATGGTAACGTGTTCCACGGAAACCTACAAGACACAATGAAAAAGAATGGTTAGTTTTTTCTGCAATTTGAAAAAAACTCATGTTTATCCTGTAATCCAAAGCATCACAACACAGAGGAAACAAAGTTGAACGTTTCCAGTTCGGATGGTTTCAGGGCAATCACAACAAAAACAACAGCAGCAAAAAAACCAAAAACAAACCAACAAACCACAACCTAAGCACTCAAGTATATAACAAGTAATAGTAGTTCATGTTTTTCACAATCTTTACTCTTTACAGTAAACTCCAGATTTTTAAACTATTTAAACATCCTCAGTAGTTATTTCTGGCAAAACAAGCTTTTGGTTTTGCTTTGAGCATTGGGGTCCAACCTATGCCACCCCACAAAAGACACACACATGGGTCTCACCCCTGGCAGTAAATGCAGAAATCAACTACAGGTGGCAGCTCAGCTAGGGAGAACTGCCAGCAAGTTAATCTGAGCAGAAACAGCACACCAAGACAGAAGGTTCTCTGCTGTAGCACCCCAAGCAGAGACAAGAACCTACTATTCCAGCAACTCTTCAGAATTCACAGAGAGGCACTGAGGACAAAAGATTAAAAGGTGATGGTTCCATGCCACCTCAGCTGAGGGAAACAAAAAGAAGAGACTGCCTTCTGAGCATGGGAACTAAGGGCATATTAGCTTTAAAGGAAACAACAGCCTTTGCAACAACCAGTGTTATTTGAACTTTCACTGCAGGATCTCATTCAAATTAACAAAAGTAGATAAGGAAAAGTTAGTATTATGTTCATTTTCAAGATGGATTTCAAATACACCTGTATCCTGTATCAGAAGTTATTTGCAGCAAACACAAGGCCTGTTTAGGCACAAAGTCAGGGAGCCCAATTTACCAAGGACCTCTGTTAGTGTCTCATTCAATTACAAAAGCATTTTAGTTCATAAAGTACTTGCTAATAAATGTATGATTTCATGAAAATACTAGAACAGATTCATAATTTTTCTTTAGTGTTTACAAGTCAGAATCTTGGAAAATCCTTCCAGAGATAACGAGCTGCTCAAAATCTGGAAGGCAGAGTTAAAATTAAAGTGCCTAGGATTTTTGTTTAATACTTCGACATTTGATGAATACACTTTAAACAATAACTGAAATATATAACATTTGATATAGAAAGGGACATATAGTCAAGGCCCTGATGGTAAAAATGGCTGCACCATATAGGGTCAAAACTGCACTGTAATGATCAAGTTTCTTTTTTTTTTTTTTTTTTTTAAATCATCATAATTAAGCATTTACTTCTAAAAAATATTTTTTTCTGTAGTGACTTTATCCATACATAAAGGTTTCTCATTAAAACATTTATTTTTCTATGTAGCATCCTTGGTTAGTTTTTAAAGAAATCAGGTATCACTCATACAGGTGAGATGAGTACTGGCAGAGTCCCCATAAAATACACTCCACACTTAAAACACAAATGTGTTCTAATAATCACAAGAACTAGAGATGTTATAAAAAAGGATACAAAATGTGCCTAGACATATTGACTAAAAAATAAAAAACTGACAATGTATTTTGAAAGGCTTTATGTTCAAGAATATATTATTTTACATCAAACAATGTTGTGAAGAGCAAAGTCTGAATTTGAAGATTTAAATACATGTAATTATATATGTATGTATTTAAATAATCCTGTTAACTAAAACTGTTCCCTGACTTAAATTACAAGAGAAATATTAACAAAGTAACACCTTTATTAACCATAAGCCACAGTGTTCAGAAATTATAATTAAGGCACAGCTAGGACTGAAACACACCCTGTAGTTCTGTACAAGAAACAAACACAATCATAATCTTTTTAACACATCCACAAAGAACTTCAAGACTAATAGGTTTTACGATTGTATTTAAAGTATTTTTAGAAATGCAATTACACCAGAGGATAGACAAGACCAAAGGATATAGTACAAAAGTTAGTACAAAAAACCTAACCTTTAAATAGCATATTTTAAAACTAATTTTATTGTGAACTAGAACTGTATTCTATGAATAAGACCAAGACCCTCCACACCTTTCCTGTCACTGGGTTGTTTGGGTTTTTTGTTACTAAAATTTACAATTACGGGGCTTTGGATCAAACCAAGAAAAAACAGTGTAAACACAATTGGTTTAACTAAACCTGTGTTAGAGTAATACAGACAAAGCTTTAATGACCTTAAACATTTTCATCTAGGTGTTAAATAAATATGCTGATCATTCCTAAAAGACTTGGCTGTAGTCAGGCACTACAGCACATGACTGCACCTACAGTCCCTCAGAGGCATAATGGACAATGCATTAAGCACTGGTTTGAAAGTTACTCAGCATGTAAAAAAACAAATCAGAAATTTAATTAATTGTGGAGACACAGTCAAAGACAGAAGCAGAAGTCTTCTCAAGTCAAAATATATAATTAACCAGGGCAATCCCTTAAGACACTTGTGACTGTCATACTTTCTTGGTTCCAGTCAAGTTCCAAGCTTTGGAATCACGTTACTGGCATGTTCAACATAATAATTTTAAAAATGCAACTGCCCTATCTGATATGGCAGAAAGAAAAATATATCTTGATAGGAAAATATTAGCCATGTCTTATTGGATACTGGAGACTGCACTGAAAATTCTACACCCAATACTGGTTCTTCTGATTCCTAAGAAAAACTTCTGGTTTATACCTCAAGTTTCTATAACTTGCTTTAACTTTTATTATCAACTAATTGCAAACAACTATTGAAATTCTAAAATTTCTGAAAGTCAGACACCTCAGGCACTCACTGTCTACAGATTGTATTGGATATTTTTGCTTCGGAGCAAGAAAATATTCTAAATTCTACACAAATGGAGACAACACATAACCAACCAACAATAAATGTAAAGAATTAAGACTATCTCACTAGATATAAGTCTTCCCTAAATTAAAGATTTAGCCCTGCAACACACACAGTTCAGTTCTCATGCAATTCTGGGCAGTACTAACTTGCAACAGCTGATAATGCCCAAAATTCCCTTAGAGACTTTATGATAGCAGAAAGAAATTTATTAAGTGTTTCAATGTGCCTTTTGGATTCATATTTGAGACGTTTATGAAGTAAAACCTGAGCTTCCATTTCATCACTGAACTGATGTTAAATAGTTCACCTCACTTGAAACAGGTTATTTGCAAGCAAAAAATTTTTTCAAATCATACTGAGTATTTTTATAGGACAATCTGAAAAGAAAGAGAATTATTCTTGTATATTCTACAATTAACTCATTTATTTTGCTAAAAGGCAAAATTGATGAAAACTTGAATATAAAAAATGTTTGGCTTCTGTGGCTATATCCAATGCATGATATACTTGAAAAAAGTCAGGTGTAATCACAACACACAATTTGTGACTTTTTTTTGCTCTTCCACATGCTATGAGTGTTAAAACATAGGCAGCTACCACTACTGGACAAACAGCAGGAGTTTCTACTGTGAACATTCACAGTGCATGCAACACCAAATATCCAACATGGTCCATCTCCAGAAGTGCCTTACCCACCAGAGCCTAATTCTAGTCACAATGACAAACATCAGAAACAGAAGAGGTGTCAGCAAAGAGTCATGAGTTGATCCTACTTAGGCTTAAGTTTTATCTTTTTAAAAGACTTTCACATTTGCAGTATGATTTTGAAAGATTTAATCATCTTGTAGTAAAAACAAAGAAGCTACAGAGTATTACATGCTGAATTGCTTTAACTTATTTGGAAACAGATACTTGAGGAGCAATTTAGTAGTCAAGTAATACAACTTATAACCCTTGCAGATCCCAAGTTCTCATAAAGGATGCCCAAGATGATAGCTGCAACTGGGCCAACATTTCTCTGCTCCTTCAAGAAATTAAAAAGGAGGAGAGAGGCCACGCATTGCCTTGCAGTATTAAATTTGCACTTTTAATGGTGCAGATAAGACTCCATTAGTAAGCAAGAAGGTGATGAAGCAGCCAGATCCCAGAGCCCTGCAGCAGGCCCGGTGCACTCCCCCGGCAGATGGCACAGGAGCCTCGGGAGCTGCCGCAGGAGCCAGCACAGACCCCAGCCAGCAGAGCTTTCCGCGTGGTAAGCAGAATCATGGTTATTTTGAAACAGATGGGCTCTAGAGAAGCTGCTGCACTGAATATTAGAGAGTTGTTTATTGCCTGGCTGGTTTAAAACCCAGGGATTATTTGCCAGCATCTAGCAGTTTCTCTGTCACATCAGGTTTCATCAAAGGGCAGGCACAGGAAAAGCCTCTGGAATACACACTTTTTTCTTTACCAAACCCATCTTAAATTCAGGACTTGCTATCATGTGCAGTGCTTTGCAGCAGAAAGTGCTGATGAGACCAGCAGCATAACCAATATCTTAACCCTGAAGCTGAACAGAGACCACTATCCTCTAAATTTTACCTGTCTTGTTACCAAGTAAAATTTCTCTAGTGTTTTTCTCATTTTATGCATCTGCAATACAATGCTGTCACCCGTGGGCACACAACACACTAAGGCTTGTAACTGTAACAGTGATCAGCTCAAAGCCCCCTGCCCCAGATTTTTCACACATTCTCAGCACTAAGCTGCACTAAAATACAGTTGCCAGACATATGATCTAAAAGAGCAAACAAGAGAGGTGAAACATTGTTTGTGACAATAATCACTTAGAATATTTTGGGGCAGACAGCAAAAAAACAACAAACAAAACCAAAGACAACTCTTGTTTCCCTAAGAAAGCAGCCAGGTGAAAGGACACACTTGCCATTGTTGGAATCAGAAGTTTTAGCTACATCAGTCTAACAGGTAACACCGAACTGCTCTCTTGAATATGACAAGTGAACCTCCAGCCAAACTCACTACAAATGCAAGCAGACCACTCCCCAGAGCAGCATATAGATTTTGGAAAAAACAGAGACATTGATCTGGCTATGGCACAGCAAGCCTTGCTCAACAGCAAAGCAAAACTCATGCAGCCAACTGGCAGTGAAAATG